GTTTCAAAACAGGCTTTCGATGAGGCAGCCCTTCTCAGTTCGCCTGAAGGGTCTAGCTGAGGAAACTGGAGTGTCACTTGAACACAGTTTAATGACTCCTGTAACATACCCGCCACTGTGGCAGTGGCAGACTGTAGACTGCGATGTGTCTTTTCTAGAAGTTACAAAACATGTACCTATTGCCCATATCTGAACATACTTCCTGGAACTTTAACACAAATACAAACGTCCTGAGTTCTTTACAGATGCCTCCAAGTCTAACTCCTCTGTGTCCTATGCTGCTGTCGGCCCATTCTTTTCGGATGCTGGCCCTCTACATCCAGGCACAAGTATCTTCACAGCGGAAGCTTATGCGATACTTGTGGCGGCTAAGCACATCAAGCAATTACAAATACAAAAAGCAGTAATTTATACGGACTCCCTCAGTTTGGTAACGGCTCTGCACACTCTTAAAAAACAAAAAACCCAGTCCTTGTCTCACTTTACTCCATTTTGTGCACACTCTACATTCACAAACATGTTGTAGTGTGCTGGGTGCCAGGGCACCGTGAGATCCAAGGCAACGTGAGGGCGGATCAGCTCGCTGCATCTGTCCACAAAAGCACTGCCCCTACATTCATATCAATCCCGGCCCTTGATCTTAAGCCGTCTCTCAAACGAAACCTCAGGGGCTACTGGCAGAGCAAGTGGGATACACACACACAAAACAAGCTACACATTATTAAGCCACACCTTGGTCATTGGCTGCCAGTATTAAAATCGCGTCATACAGAGGTATTACTAACGAGGACTCAGGATAGGACACACATACACGACACACACATATCTTTTGTCTGGTGGCGATCCATCATTGTGTGACAGATGTGGTGAAGCATTAACAGTCCTTCACATGTTAATCCAGTGCAAACACTTAGAAACTCTAAGAAAACAACATTTTCCATTACCCTGCTGACAACATATACCTTTACACCCTGCAATGTTCGTCGGTAGGGAACCGCTTTTTAGTCATAAATCATTGTTAGTGTTTTTAAAATAAATTCATAATTTTCATATCATATACCCGGGCATTCCATAGCACAACCTCTTCAGAGAGGATTTTCGCTGCGGTGGCTACACAAGAAAGCACTTGCCTCCTTGGCCCTTGGACGCAAGGGTATGAACGAGTGAGGTACTTGTGCTAATGCCATGCATCTCCACCATTGTTTTTTATTGTCAGCAGCTTTTTTCACACACACACCTTTCATGGCATGGTCATGATTTTATTACTTGTATGTTTTTACCCGTCTTACCGCGAGGAATTTTATGGCCCTTATACAGCCGTTTATCACAGTCATTGTCCATATTTTTAGTAAGATGAACTGGCGCTCTTTGGCCGTGAAATGGCTCTTGCACCACAAAACATCAAACATCATCATCAAGTGCAACTTTTTGTAGGAAGAGCACACATTTTCAACGCTGCTGCACCAGTTTAAGTCATTTGATATCACAATGCCTAGATATCTAAAGCTAGAAACATCTGTAAAAATTGCGCTGTCCATGTGATACTGAAAATCAAGAACTTTTTCTTTTGGGTAATATGCGCAAAAGTGGTTTTGGTGTAGTTAACTTCCATATCCCATTTTTCAGACCAGGTATGAAGACCTTCAAGACACTGGTTATTTTTTTTCCTGATCGCTTTCACAGATAACTGGAGCATAAATTAAGCAGTCATCTGCAAACAGTCTAGAGACTACTAACGACTGAACAAGTGTGGCTGCATCCTTGATGTAAACCAAAAACAATAAAGGGCCTAGCCCTGTGGTACTTCGTAAAGAACATCCAAAAAGCTTGGCACAGAATTATTAACACGCACCACTTGCCTCTGCCCTGTTAATAAGCTTCAATTCATTTTAAAAGATCATTACTGATACCAATTTGCCACAGCTTATCAAGCAGTTTACCATGTGAAACTTTTTTAAATGATTTTTTAAGAATCGATGCAAATGACATCAGTTTGTTGGTGCTCATCCAAAGCCCGCGAAAAGTAGTGAATTGTTTCTATAAGTTGTGTAACCGTGGGTAGGCCCCTCGGAAGCCATGCTGATTGGCTCAAGGTAGCTTAATTGCTTCGAAAAAATGAATAAGGTGTTTAACGATTGCATGCTCCATGATCTTGCAGCATTCAACTTTTAAACACGGATGTAACCGCAGCGCAACGTCAATCTTGTGGAACGGAATAGTTACGTAGAGATTGTTCAAACATGATTACCAGATAGAAATACACCCACTCGGCGTATTGTAAAAATACTGTTGTATTTCGTCGGGGCCACAAGCTATCTTTGAATTTGAGTTGTTTAAACAAGCCCTTCTGCATGGCGAACAGGAAGAGGCTGCATAAGACAAGCACAGGTATAGTTTATTTCTTGTGCGACGAAACTTTTTGCATCTCAATTAAAGACTGAACGAAAAAACTCATTGAAACCATCTGCTATCTGCTGTGTATCTGTCACAGGAGTATCTTTTATACTAACCTGGTTTGCTTTTGATTTCCTTGCTCCTAAAAAATGCCAGAACTTGGTGGGCGAGCTTTCTAAAAAGTTTCCTGGCGTTTTATTGAAGAACTTTCTTTTTGATTCTGATAATGCTGTTTTTAGTCTACTGCGCACCTGCTGATAGTTCAGTTGACTTCTGTGGCTGCTTGTGCAGCCTTTTTATTCTGTATTTCATGTAAACAGTATTGCGAGTTATCTATGGATTTTCTGTTTCTTTTTTTTTTATAACGATTTGGTACAAATCTCTATTCAACTAGCGTTAACACATTTAAATCGCTCCCACGATTCCTCTGCTGTCTCTGAGTGGGAGGCAATTTTAAATCTATTAAATGATTGTTCTAAGTAATTTAAGACCGAGGTACCATCCGCTCGCTCGTAATCTTTAGGCTTGTGTGAATAGTCAATTCTAGGTTCGAAGCGAAGTCAAAGGAAGTAGTGTTTTTGGTCGAATAATTTCGAATCGAATTGGAATGGAATATATCGCGTATAAAGAAAAATGGGCATATTTATCACGACCTAACTAACCTGCACAATATTTTTTTTTAAACATGGCTTCTATGCAAGAGCTTTCTTTATTTTTCAAAGGAAGTCGAAACAACTTTGCGGAGTAGCAGAATTTGACTTTCAGTAGGATGCAAATGATATCCTATAAAATACGTAACATTATTCATTGCAGTTGGAGTGTATAAGCTGGAAAAACAAGGACTTAAGTTTAGAAAATGATCAATCGATTTGAGGATATTATGCTCATTCAAAGAATTCAAAGAGACCGTGCAACAACAGTTTATCAAGTTGTCATGGAATAAATTCACTAAAGGAGCTTCTTGCCTCATGAAATAACCGCCGCAAAAATTTTTAGAATCTGTCCAGTATGAGCAAAGTCACGAAGATTTGCCACATGTTGCAATTGCATTATCTATTCTCGTCCCGACAAAAGCGCTTGAAGCAAAGCCGGGAGAGATGACATGCATAATGAAAGAAAATACGCCACGTGCATGTCGTGACCTTGAGCACTTTCTCTATTTATTATTTTTTTTTTTGAATACAGGGCTTTTCAGTGCGATCGCGCATGTACGCGTGGACATGCCACGGCCACTTGCAGTGGCCTCGGTAACGATGGAGCGCGCCATGCTCAATTTAGTCAATGGCTGGTACAATGACTGTGACTTGCAAAATTTTTGACATTGTGGACATTGTGGCATCATTTGCCGAGAGAAGAGTGCAATTTTTATCTGAGTTTGAGAAATTATTGTGAAGTCCAGTTCGCGTGTTGCATTATAATATCTAGCTAGTGTGTTCTCGGTAGCCTCGACTACCTATCGGCAGCGTTTGCTGACCATGCTGAAAAAGTGTTGCAGGGCCCATTTAAACTTGGAGAGGGGCTTTGCAGAAAAGCAAATTTTTTTGGATAGGTGCTTTCACGGCTTAGTACCCCTGTACTGCATTGAAAACACCTTTACAGGCGATTATATGCGGTTTAGTGTGCACCTATTTGTCCTTATCGAATACTTCGAAATATTTGATAATTTAAATTTCAATCGAAGCAAATTCGAATACTATACTATTCGTTCAAATACTCAAAGCATTCGAATATTTGCACAAGCCTAGTAATCTTTTATGAACAACTGTTCTTTAGGCCCCAAATCATCACAACGCTTGCTCAACAATGGCAGTATGTCCCCGAAATCATCTTACGATCAGATATGCCTTCCAAAATTGACAAGCTATAATCTTCAATCTTGCTAGACAAAAAGACCAAATCTAATAATGATCATGATTGGGGTGTTACTCTTGTGTAATCATTACAATCTATCTTAAATTGTGAAAGAAGGCAATCTCTAATAACTTATTTGCACTCATTATCTCAGTATATTGACGAGACAAAGCCTCTCAATCAAGGCGTCCAAGGTTGAAGTCACCAGCCAATATTAGTCAAGTGGAGCTGTTGGCATGAGTGCAAAGAAATTCATTAATGCTCATCTAAAAATTCGGGTGGAGTCGCGGGTAGTCCTCTAAACAACACCAATGAGGTAAGCAATGTTTCTAAAATTTATTTACCACTACACTGACTCCGACATATCGCTGTCCACCATTATGGCCTGGCAACAATCCTTTACAATAATAGCAGCGCCCCCACCACAGGAATCTTTGTCCCATCTGAACATGCTGTACCCTGGAGGTATAATACACTCACTGGAAATGCAGATGCTTAACCATGTTTCTGTTAATAGTGCAACATGCGTTTCCCGGACCCCTAAGGAACCGCGAAAACTAACGAAAAATAGGGCAGTCCGAAAAAACGATTGCACATGAAAATTCACCTTTTTTTGTGGGTATTTTTTACTCACGGAGAGGGTAACAGCCTGAGTACAAGATTCCCATTGCAATTCCACCAATGCATCATTCTGGTGACTCTACAAAGAGCCATTCATAAAAAAAAATCTGACGTGGCCGTTGTTACCTCATGGGTCAGCACTCGGGCGCAAAGAAGTCGCCTATTTTCTTTTGCCCGACGTTCCGCTTGCCCGCGATCATGTCTGCCTCAATTTCAGTCAACATCATGTTGCCGCTATACACCGATGACAGTGTCATCTGTGCTCGCGCAAACTCTGAGCTCATTGGCTGTGTAGGAGATGGCTCTTTGTTCTCGATGTCGTCATAATCCTCCAAAACTTGACGAATGATTTCGTCATTGGTCAAGTTCGCACATAGCTCGAGGTCTTTGTCAGCGTCAGCGAAGCCCTCAAAGGTTATCCGGGCTGGAATCGACACGCCGGCAGTTCGCAGATCGTCGAAGGCAACATCCGTGGATGGCAGTTCGTCGCACACGCTGTCCATTTGGGGTGAGACGGCCATCTGAGCGTCGAGTGTGAAGCCCACGTGGCGAAAACAGTTCCGCAGGGTCTCTTGCGTAACCGCCTTCCACGATTCCTCTAGCATGCTGACGGCAGACCTGAGGTAAACAGTGTAGCTTGTCCTGTTGTCGGAGCATAGCACCATGCGGATTTGTAATGATGCCTCAAGTTCAGAACCACGCCTTGGTCCATCGGCTGCAGGATTGATGTGGTGTTCAGTGGCAGAAATTCAATCTGTATGGCTTTTAGGCCCTTGATGTGGTTATGTGTCGCACAGTTATCCACAAACAGCAGAACTCTTCGATTTTGCTGCTCGAACTTTCTGTCCAGCTTGCACACGTACGCTTCGAATAACTGCTGCATTACCCACGCCTTCTTGTTAGCTTCATAGGGAACAGGCACAGTCACTGCTCCCTTGAAGCATCTTGGATGCTTCGACGCGCTTATTACTAGTAATGGAAGCTTCTCGCTGCCTGACATGTTGCTGCCAACGAGGACAGTGAGCCGCTCCTTGCTGTGCTTGCTGCCGTGGCAGTGGTCCTCAACAAATGCACGTGTTTTCTCAGGCAGCAGCTTGTAGAACAGTCTAGTTTTGTCGCAGTTGAAAATATCATCAGGTGGAAACCGCTGAAGCAAAGACTGCAGCTTTTCATCCCGATATTCGGTGACAATGAAATCGTCGACGGTGCTGCTTTCCCCCCACATCTTCTTGAACTTCAAGTAATTGCGGATCTTTAAATGGTGAAGCCATTCATTGCTGAACTTGAAGTCCTTCATGCCTATCTGAAGCACGAAAACCTCCGGCTTCTGCTTCAGGATGTCGCCTGACACCGTGATTTTATTGGCGATCATGGCACTGAGCCACACGACAAGCGCTTCCTCCAGCTTTGGGTAAACACCTTGGCTGGCATTTCTTCTTTCCTGCCCCGTTTGATTGGGCAGCCACTTCCAAGATCTTCGTCTCATTTTTGATGAAGTCGGAAACAGTTTGCTTTAAAATTCAGAGCTCCCGCCCCATCTCTGCGTGCGACCAATTGCGTTGGACCTGTTCAATGATGGCGACTTTCTTCTCCATTGGGAGCCTACGAGGGGGCTTTGTGCGCTTTGAAGGCGCGGACAAAGACGAAAGAGCAGTTGGTGCCATCGCTGTAAATGGCAAACCCGCTTGACGAAAAGCGCAACACGAAAAGGCTAGGAACTCAATGGATGCTGAAGGTCAGTAAACGTGATCACTGAAGATAGTGCACAGTAGCAAACGATCAACCGCAGGCATGACTGCAGAGCTGACAAAACAACATGAGAACGAACACAGTGAGGTTTGGCTTGGCTAAGCCACTGAGCTACGGCTGGCAACGGATTGACACGTGTGGTTTTGAGATTGCGGTGGTTGGCGGCGGTGCTACTGGATACCTGTGATACGAGTATGGCGGCTTCGAGGATATGAAAACAACCAAAATGGCCGCATCGGTGGTGACTAAATGGCGGCGTCGGTGGTGACTTTGGGTCGGCGGTTAACCGTAAAAAGTCAGGGAAAATCGATGCCGAAAGCTATAAGCGTCTGGAATTTCGGACTTTTTAATACATTGACTTTATGGGCATCTTGACGGTGCCACAGATGAGTCCGGGAAATGGGGCATGTCCGGAATTTTGGACATCCGGGAAAGCGGACGTGGACTGTATGTATTCCAGATCAGTGATTTTATTAACAATACTACGAGCATTCAAAAGAATTAAGCGTAGCTATGCTTGAGGTGGCTTATTCTTCGTCGAATGCCGCGATGAGCCGGGTTTAGACCTTGTGCTTTCATGGCTTTTGTATGGGCGGTACTTATGCGGACAGCACTAATTTTGCTCTGTGTCCCACATGTAAAGTTGCTCGTCGATTTTAATCTTGTCACCAAGCAGAGTTGTCTTTTTGTCATTTGCCCTGTCTGCAGCGGCACTCTGCCACAATTTTTTGCGAACTGCGACAGTTTCGAGCGCATAATCATTGCTGGTGCTAATATAACTTCCATTCAGCTTTCTGCAATTATGGAGCACACTTTCTTTTTCCTGGCTGTCAAAAAATTTCATTATTATGGGTTCGCATCTTGCTGCATCTTTTATTCCGATTCGGTTTATTCTTTATATCGACTTTACAATGCCCAGCCGCTTTCCAAATCTTTCATTCACAACAACTTTTCTCAAATCACCCTCAGATTCATTGTGTCAGATAATCGGTCTGTTTTGCTGTTCAGGGCCGAGATTTTCTCTGTAATAGCATTCAGCCTGCAGTCTGACTTAGCCTGGTTATCCAAAATTGCCTGCAACATCTGTTCTATTGGCGGCCTGGGATTCTCCTCAATGTCTCCAGATGTCAACAATAATATCACCATAGACCAAACATCAATCACTATAGCACGACATTGTTGAGGGCGTGGCAAAAGCAACAAAAATCCATCGTTGCTGCTGTAGAAAGCAGTATTACTCCCAGAAATAACCTGGAAAAGCAATGACAGTTGTTCATTTTTACTGTCCAGTTCATTTTTACTGTCCACCAGATCTTTGCCGTTCTCTCTGGCGTGGTCGATGTCTTCTTGCTGCTCCTCTTGTAGTCTTCCAGCCAATGCCGTCACTGTTGACGCCCTCTGGTAGTAGGATAATGGAACCATCAAGGCGTCATCGTGCTGATGAATCAGGATTTTATCGTACATTTCTTGAATAAATGAGATAAAAAAATGTTGCTCAAGCTAGCTTCCTCCGACAAGCGTGTCGCTTCCAAGCAAGCCTGCTTGAAATGTCAAACAGGACATCAAGCAACATGTCTTCTCTGGTCAAGCAAACCACTTGGACAGTATAACTTCTTCTCTGACTGACTCCTCACCGAGTGACTCTCGGTCACCGTGTGCTTATATAGGCTCGTGTTTGTGTTTGGAAATCCTTAACTGAACAAGATTTGTCTGTGTATAGCACAATGAATGTTAGAAAAAAGGCTATGTACATCTTTTCTCACAGATTCCTTTGTGAAATCTGATGGCAACACTTTAATTTCTTAAATTTTGCTGATCTTGCGTGGGCATTAGGCCGTCTTGACAGCATCTTTTGTGGGGAGAGTAACAGGCATGCTTTCGGTGCCGTTTGATAGTTGCTTTTTTCAATGCGTAGTGCAAACTGTTGGTGCCGAGTTTTCATGCTGTCGTTAAAAGCAGCAACACCCTCTTGGTTAAGTGCTCGTTTTTGATAAACATTGTTCATAAGTCCACTTTGGTAGAGGTCTGTGCCTTCATTGTACCAGTTGTCTGGCACCCGAACGAAGGGAAAATCACAACCACAAACTACAGTTGAATCCCTTTTTGAGAGACATGCACCGGGGAGCATTTCTTGTCGTTTATGCAAGGGGTCTCTTTATAGACAGGTTATCACGTATGCATATTCTTATCAACTCCTTTTTCGATGTAAGCACACTACTGTCTCTTATCAGGGTGTCTACCAACCTGGAAAATCTGGAAATGTAAGGGAATTTGAGCCCTTCTGCAAAAGTCAGGGAAAAGTCTGAGAATTTCTGAAAAATCTGGCCTGGTCATGGAAACTGACGACAGCCTGTGCAATTGTCACAAAAATAGACATTATCATTGATCAAAGCATAAAAATACACTCCTTCAGCTTCAACTACAGTAAACAGCAAGAAGGTGCGTGAAAAAGATAATAAAAAGTAGTGCATAACTGTTTCTTCTTAGTTTAGATGCCAAAGGATACACCTACCAAGAGAATCTAAAGTTTACCAATGTTTCGGCACCCGCTACGGGCACCTTGTTCAAAATAATAGCCATAAGAAAGGCACAGGGTATTTAAGTACGTCGAAGTACGTGGCGTAAGCATCGGGACTACATTGTCCGAAGCGTCCCATTACTCCTGTCTAGCGTAAGTGCAGTTGCCTGGATGTGCTAGTATTTTAAGTGCACGCAGATGCAAGGTTTTCTATGGCCAGAACACGCGCCAGTTAGTTTGGTGGCCTGTAGATTCCACATGTTCAGCCAGGGCATATGAGGTTACACATTGTTTTCTGACATCATATTTGGGAGAACAATTTTTTTTAATGTGTGGTCTCACCGATGTACTGGTTATTGCATTTGTATCACCAAAGCATAAAAAATATCGTGGGAATTTTTCACTCGGCAACTTGTCTTTCGCGCTGCCTAAAGCGCTCCTTAGCTTCAATGTTGGTACATTAACTATTTTGATGTCTGTTGCTTGCCCCGCCACAGTGGTTTAGTGACTAAGCTTCTCAGCTGTTGACTCGAAGGTCGCAGGATTGAATCCCGGCTGCGGCGGCTGCACTTTCGATGGAGGCAAATATGCTTTATACCCGTGTGCTCAGATTTGGGTGCGCATTAAAGAACCACAGGTGGTCGAAATTTCCAGAGCCTTATATTACGGCATCTCTCATAATCATATGGTAGTTTCGGGTTGTTAAACCCCACATATCAATCGATTTTTGTTGCTTCTACATATTGCACAGCATATCTAATACTCCTGTCACACGGGCACCTGCGAGCACGGTGCAACTTCCTAATCCTTATGACAAGGGAGACGTGGTTCATGTCACAAGGCCACCCTTACACAAATGAAGGTAAATGAAGCATTTCGCAAAGGAAGTTTGGCGATCGTTTTTTGCAGTGGAACGATGTGTACTCTCGTCCGCAGTAGTCTGCACGTCAGAAAAAAAATTTCGAGTGCTAAATTGCCGCAGTAAAAACAATAATAAATTTTGGCCACATTAAACGTTCTTTAGTTGTAGTACTTGCTCATAGAGCATTTGTTCACACATTTATATACAGCTGCTAGAGTGCTGCTACTCTCCACACCGATGCCTTCCACACCGTGCCTCGCGAGCCGGGTCAAAGTATATCGTCAGTACGTGCGGCTGTTGTCGTTGCCATGTTTGTGTTTGTCCGTGAGAGGAATGATTGACAGCACTGTATCATCATCACCTGCTGAATACACTAGCACAGTATACAAAAGACAAAATGTGCGCTCACGAGGCAAGGAAGCACAAGAACTTTCGTACACAAACTTGCTGAGCGCGGTGCAATTGTAAACAAACATAGCGTTAGGCACAAGGTGGCCAGCATCGCTGCCAGCATTGCTACATTAAGCAAATGCATTCTCGTTTGAAACATTTTTCAATTCTTTGTTAGCTTCAGACCTACTTAATATACTCGGGGACAATTTTCTGTAGCATTGAAGGGAAAGCTACAAGGGCAGAGCTGCTGCTTCTGTACATCTCCGCGAAGTAGCCCTGTCTGGCTCATGTTTCGAATGACGGCAGTGTTCAGGCAATCCCACTGCACACAATTCGATACATCTGCTTACACAGCTGTTTGTGTAGGAAATTTGACACAAGCTCCTTCGGCGAGTCATTGGAATAACTGGAGGACGATGTGCGCTTACCTGAAGACGAAGACGTTATTTTCACTGTGAGGTGCACATAAAACGTGCGAAGTTTTCAGCCATGCAATAACACGAAGCGACTCTTCAGGAAGCAACAAAAAATATCAATATCCGCTCGGTGCATACAGGGTCTCTTTATAAACAGCATGCAGTAGAAAATAATGTTCTTTTTATTATTCTCACACAAAATACACAGGCACATTTGTGGCACTGAATTCGACAGCGGTAGCACATGCCCACTTTGGCTTCGTAGCCTTCCCTTCATTGTCACAGAAAGTTGTGCCTTAATATAGTGTGTTTATCTAAGAACGGCAAAACCAAGATTCATAGAAAAAGCAACTAGAGATGAAATTGGAATACTTCTGCGAAAATCAAACAGCACCGGCTGAGCCCCTCGCGGCTACTATTACAACCTTTTCATTGCCTTGTGACACTGCCACTACTCTATCTCTGTTAAACTCCCTCGGGGAGTTTTATGTGGACAGTGTTTAACGCAGTTTAGTGGTGGCTGTGTGATAGGGGAAGTATCACTTTCC